CACCCCTGGGTGTCGGTCAGGACACAAAGAATGAGGAGACTGGTGCTTCTTTCCAAAGTGTATTGAATATTAGTCTAAAATAACAAAAAAACATATTACATTAGTAGAAGAATAAAGGTGTACATTAACAGATAAATCAGTCCCTTAATACAGAATACTAACATATTCAGTATCACCTAAAGTACCTCTAAATAACAGTTAAAGCTCAAAATATGGACAGGACATGCAATTGAAGACAATGAAAAACTATTGGTTTGGTCACAAAATGACTTATGTGATTAACAGATGACAGATGCATAAACAAACAATCTAAATTCCCAATTTGGCATAATCAAAGGGAAATAATACTGGATAATCCTTCTGCAGAATAATTATTTAACATATTACAGACATATACATCGTAAACTGTCACATTGGACTGTATTTAGCAGAAATCACATTACACATCTTTAATGTGTTTAACGGTTAATCTTTACCGTTATCTGTTAAACGATCGCACATGAATCGGTACATGTCCGGGCATGCACATTTAAATGCACAAGGCTAAATAATACACTTAAAACATCGAGAAATCAAAGAAAACTTACTTTATGGTCATGTACTAATAACACTTTTAACACTAAACGCCAAACAAACATCCAAATAACAGGCAGGAAGAAACTTATAGGTGCGCAGCTACCGTTCTCTCCGTAATCTATATTGACGCAACAGGCAGCAAAACAATAACAATAATGCCTCCTACTGGAAGCAACAGGTATCGCACTCTAAAATAACTATCAAAATAAAAGTTCCACAATAGAAGTCTTCTTTCGCCGGGAGCCTTTTATACAAAGAGAATCACAGATCTGTAGTTTGAACCATATTAACACCACACCACCATGTTGGTCTTAGAAGTTCCTTGAAGTACCATGAATATGTAAAGTACCACGGTATTCCACCTCATCTTTCCGTAACTTTTGACGCTCTAGAAGTAAACAGAACTGCATGCGTCTTGCGGAAGAACATAGTAGCCGGAGCTTCTTCTCCCTGTTTGTGTCTGACAAGTCACAGAGGTACTGGGCTACTCCGCAGTGGTATGACCCAAACCAGTCTAAAATAGTCCGAATATAAACATTTATTATAGGTGTACTGTAGTGATTCAGGATGAGACAAAAACATGGAAAATGGATTCATGATGTACTCGCTCATTTTATAATTTTTGTAAATTTTGAACACAAAACTTACAGACTGCAGCTTTAAGGCTGAAGCAGGTGGGATTTGTGCATCAGCATCATTTAGTCTGTTTCCAGTCAGTATTTCAATTGAAATCAATGGGATTTTGAGTAAATGTTTTTTGAATCAGAACCCATTGATTGTAGCTAAAGACATGGAAATTTAAGTAATTCCGCTGATGTTTGAAGGAAAATCAGGGGAGCTGAATGCAGCAGGTGAGGACGAAGAAGTGAAATACTATAAGCGATCAGTAATGGTACTTGACAAACACATGACTAAGCACAGGCCGAACCACATGTTCGATGTCTCGTCAGTACGTCACGCCGCGCTAAAGCAGCTCAGGAAAATCATCTGGTGTTATCATGTCATTTAAGTGTGGACAACCTAATAATCACAGTTACGCACTAGAATCTTCCTCTTACAGTATATGTTTGGGATCTTCCTATGGTGGGTTTCATACCTCAGAACATGGTTTTTGCATGTTCTCTTTGAGACAATGAAGGGGAACACTCAAGTTCAACTGTGAATGAAGCCCTTTGTTTACTTGAATGAAATGCACCTGAGGTTTGTTAGATGCTTGTGTGTGTGTGTAACAGCACTGAGGTTAATTTAATTACCAGAGACCAGACCAAAGTCCCTGAGACTTACTCACTTCCTCATTCCTGCTGTTTCACTGGTCTTTGTCTTTAAAACTTTAGTGCACTTGTGTTTTTTTTATTGCAAATAGTGACTTTATGTGGATCTACATCTCGTAATGGCAACTTTGTTTCTCATAATTGCAACTTTATATCGGTGACTTTATTTGTTATTTTCAACGTTTGTTCAGATAATTTTTTTCTGTATTCATATATTATTATTATTATTATTTGTATCACTATTTATTTACCTATTTATCTATGTAATTTTTTGATGTATTTGTAATTTTTTAAAATTTGTGTATATATGTATTTTTGGCATTTTTGCCTTTATTGCGATATGACAGTATAGAATAGACAGGAAGCGAAATGGGAGAGAGAGGGGGAAGGGATCGGGAAAGGTCCATGAGCCGGGACTCGAACTCGGGTCACCGGAAACGCATTTGTGCTATTTGTCGGCATGCTGCCCACAAGGCTACAAGCTCCAATTTACCAATTTATCTATGTAATTTTTTTTATTTATATATTTAGTTATCAAATTATTTTATTATTAATTTCATCATGCTATTGCTCTGTCTCTCAAGTTTATTAATTTATTTTTATTAATTTAATTTTAAATTATTTTAATTTTTAAATAGATGTGTGCAAGTGTTTTTAAGACATTTGACTTTAAGACTTAAAGACTTTAAGACCTCCAATCTGTGTTTAGTTTAACTAAGCGTGTGTGTGTGTGTGTGTGTGTGTGTTTGTGTGAGAGAGATAAAAGAGACCACAGTGATGACAGGCCTCTGCTAAATGTGACAGTGCTGTCTGAAATGTGAGTCCACATGGGCGTTGTTTGTCTGTCTGTGTGTGTGTTTTGTGGGTCAGGTCTATTGTGTCTATTGTGAGGTCTAAATGTCTCCACAAGGATAGTTCAACCTGGAATCAGCTATAGGCGAGTTAACAATCTCCAAGTGGAAAATGGCTGAATAAACACATAAATAATGTTTTCACAAAAATATAAAAATGGCATGCAAAAACATTTGTGTGAGGGTTAGATTTAGGGTTAGGCTATAAAATATCATTAGCTCAGCTATAAACAATAGAGGTCAATTGAAAGTCCCCCACCATGATAGAAAAGCAAACGTGAAAGTGTAAAGGGTTTCACACGTCCACATGGACCCTGTGCTCAAACAGTCATTCACCAGCTGTGTGTGCACGCGTTTAGTGTTTCTGTGACTTTAACACACCCGTGTTGTTTTTTATTGTGTGTTTTTTTGCCCTGCTGCCTTTTCGATGTCTGGTTGCTTGTGGCTAAAGTGTGTTTACAGGTAATACAGTTTCCTATTTGTATTGTCTGTCTGTTTTTCTCAATCTCTGCTATCATGTTACACCATTCATGGCGAGTCAGTCACAGATCAAACTCATAGTTTTTCTTGTTCACCTGTGACATCAGATCAGGGAAGGCACAGCCTCTTAAAGCTGGCACACACACACAGTCTCTCTCACACACTCTCTCAGCGTCCAGCGGGATCTGAAGGTGCTTTTTTTTATGGGAATACTGGTGGGATTCCTTGTCGTTATGCCGAGAGGTTTTTGGTGAGGTGAAGTTTTACAGACTATTCAGATTCAGCTTTTTTATTGTTGTTAACTAGTGGTTAGTGATAGACTTATATTTGGTCATTTTGAGTAAATGTTGTGTAAAAGCAGTTCATTTTGTAAAAAAAAAAAAAATATCTAAAAAGATGTCATAAAATTGTATTGTGTGTGTGTATATTAGCATTGTGCTCTCTAGATATCTCTGTTGGCATTGATTAACGCATATCATATTACTACTACTGCTGGCAGTGTGTATGTGTTTTAGATAAATATTGTTTGTTTTGTCAATGTTCAGCTTGATTTGTGCATTTTTTAAAAGCACAAATATTCCATGTAGTCTCTGTGTGAGCACATAAAAGTAAAACCTATACATGATAATAATAAACGGAGAATAAATCATAAATGGAGAATAACATGTCAAGGCCGCAGGACATGTCAGCTTCCCAAAAGCATTTCATGTTAACTAGCCACAAACCAAAAATAATGCTCTGTCCAATATTACATAACCCTGGTTTGAGTCGAGGTGTCAGGACTAATGTCAGATTCACTGCAATGAGTTGTGTGTTTTTTTACAGCAAAGATGGGGCTGTTTTTGGACTGTTTGCTCCTTTCAGAAAAGATTCATAAATGAAAACTCTGTAAAACTTTAGTTTGGGGAACACAAATACACTATTAACTAGGAGTTTTTCCCTCAATAAACTCCTAATTACTGCTTATTGATAGTTAAGTTGGTAGTTGTGGATACATTTAGGTGTGGGGTTAGATTTAGGGATCAAAAATATGGTCATGTAGAATAAGGCATTAATATGTGCTTTATAAGTACTAATAAACAACCAATATGCTAGACTAGTAATATGCAAGCTAATAAGTAACCAGCCTAGTTAATATTGAATAGTGTTCCCTAAACTAATGTGTTACCGAAAACTCAATGACATTCATTTATGCTTTAGTTTGTTGTGTTTTATATAGGACGAATTACTATTAATATTACTCATATTAGGGTTAGTGATTTGAATAAACACACACACATACATGCATACTCACAGACATTTTTTAAACAAGTCTCTTAGGCTCACTAAGGCTGCATTTATTTGATTAAAATACAGTAAAACAGTAATATTGTGAAATATCATTACCATTTAAAATAACAATTAAACCATTTTTTTTCTATTCGAATACATTTGAACATATCATTTATCATTTTTCCTGTGATTTTCAGCAACATTACTCCAGTCTTCAGTGTCACATGATCCTTCAGAAATCATTCTAATATGCTGATGTGCTTCTCAAGAAATATTTCTTATTATTATAAATGTTGAAATCAGTTGAACTGCTTAATACTTTTGTGGAAACCCTGATGCTTCAGTGGATGTTTCCCTCCTGTCTTAGCTTGTCCCCCCCACCCCCCTGCTGTGTCCTAGTTTATTCTAAATACTAAATACTATTAAAAGAAGATTGGTGGTAATTTGGTAAATCTAATTATGTCTTCAGTTTCATTCCAGCAACCCCTGCTGTTGATTTACTTAGGCCGCTCCCCTTTTCACTAACTCTAGCTCTAAATGGTTGTTTCAGATTTTGCCACGCCCACAGCTGAAGATGTCAGACAATGGGGAAGTAGAAGACAAGCCGCCAGCTCCGCCCATGAGAAACACCAGCACAATGATTGGCTCGTCCAGTAAAGACTCAGGCCCTCTGAATCACGGCTCCAAACCTCTGCCCCCCAACCCAGAGGACAAGAGGAGAAAAGAAGGCTTCATCCGATCCATACTCACCGGAGGAGGAGACAAGAGTGAGTGACAATTATTGCCACTAGCTAGTATTGTTTTCTACAAGGAAACAAATCATCTTCCTCAACAGGCTTTTTGGCAGCTCAGAAAAATAATTATTTAAATGAGGAATTTCTATTGGCAATCATTCAGATTTAGCTTCAGGGTCAAAGGTCACGATGAGAACAAGCAGTTTATTAGACATCTGTTTAGCAAACAGCAACTTTATGGCCATAAACCTTTGACCTTTGATGTTTCATTTATTCAGAATTATGAACACAGATCTGTTATGTCACTTCTCCTTAATTTGGGACATCAGATTTTCACACTTTCTCAGTTGATAACATGCGTCCACTCATGTCTCCGTGTCAAGCGTTCGTCTCACTCTCGCACTCCTGCGTCCGGAGCGGCTCGTGTTTCAGGAAGCCTGTTTTGTGTTAATTACCAGGCCGTTACCACATCATTAATATTAAAGACCCTGCCTGGCTTCAGCATCGAGCAGATGAGGATGAGATCCAGCCGTTGTTTAATAGGCATTAGCAGCATCCGCTCAGATCCGACACACAGGAACTGGAGCAGAACGCAATAGCTACGTTGAGACTGTGCCAGACCGTGTTTATATTGTAATATTGTCTTTATGAAAATCAGCACTGATCCAAAAAACGAATGAGCCTAAAATGGCAGACTAGTGTTAAATATTTACTAAAAAGGAGATTTAATAAATAAATGTACAATAAGAACAATCGAAATGTGCGTCAAGTTCAAGGGTTACTCTTTCGCCGTAAATCGATGCGTACGGCCGTCTGCCAGAAGCTAGTTCGTCCGACTGTTTTTACTGTACTTTATTTTATTTTTTTAGTCTAAACTGTTTTAATTATTCTTATTTGTTTTGATTATTTTATTTTCTCCTTTGTAAAGCACTTTGAATTACCATTGTGTATGAAATGTGCTATATAAATAAACTTGCCTTGCCTTGCCTAGTTATTTTAGTCAAAGTTTAAATTATGGATATTTTTCTTACTCTAACGCATTGCTTGACTTCAGAAAGCCTTTATTGACCCCCGCAGATCTGCGTGGAGCACTTTTATCATGAATAGATGCGCTTTAAAGGGACATTGTGTAGGAATTTCTAACGAATTGTGCTCTCCAGCGCCTCGCTTTTTCAAATGCGTGTTGCATCTACGGTAGCCGTTATGTACCAAAAGAGTTATGACAGGATGTCTTCTAATAGCACTCCGTCGAGTTTTCCTTCGGGTGAACAGGTTGCAAGAACAATCATATGCTCTATTAAAATATATTCTTATCGAATTTCTAGGATACAAAAAGTAAACTTACAAACCTTGTTTTTAGCGCCTTCTCTACATAGCTGCCATTCATCAAAGAGCCTGTTTAACTTTTAACTATAAATGTTGTACTGTCTATATAATAAAGTACACAACCAAGCAATGAAAAAAGCTTGTAATTAAGACTGTAACATTGACTTACCTGTCGAGAAGAAAGCAGGCTCTTTTGAAATCTTTCTCCTGCATTAACGTTAGCTCTTTCCACCTGGAAAAAGCTATCCCGACATTGTTTTTTGTAATCTCCGGTCATGTTTCCTTTTACGTTCTATTTTGGACTTTATGTATGGTTCGCCAATTAAAAATAACAGTGCAATGCAGCCTTTTAAACTTGCCGGAGCAGTGACAAGCGCCTCTCACTGCTCTGGTCCTCCGTTTCTGCTGCGTTGAGTTACTTTTCCGCTGGCTCTGAACGAAAACGCACTGTGGAAATGCGTTGGCCTAGTACTTTTTGTCCCTCTCTGCTATAATAGTTTTTCAAGATTGCGGAACTACATGGAAGCCTCTGTGGACCTACCCGTCCCATACATAAAGATAATAAATTCTTCGTTTACAAGGTTACATGTCCGATAATTGGCAGAGGTATTTGTACACCATTGAGGACATATTTATGAATAAAAATATTGATTTTAGATAATAAAATACTTTAAAAAGTACACATTGTCCCTTTAATGGACTTCCAAAGTCAAACAGCCATTCACTCTCATTATCAAGCTTGGAAGAGCCAGGAAATTTTTTAATAACTCTGATTGTATTCATCTGAAAGAAGTATGTCATATACACCTAGGATGGCTTCAGGGTGAGTAAATCATGGGCTATAATATATAAATCATTGTTGGGTGAACTATCCCTTTAATATAGTACGGTAATTGTGACCTGGAACTACTTGTTCATTAAACGGTTTTATTGCACACCTTCCAGCCAATCAGAATCGAGTATTCAGACAGACCATGGCTGAATCCGAAATTGCCCCCTAAATCCCTATCCCAATAAATCCCCTAAATCCCAATTCCTACATTAGTCCACTAATACAGTTCACTTGAAGAAGTGAATGAAAACGAGGGAGCGAATTCGTTTGAGTGTACATTGGCTGTACACTCGTTATTGCGGTGCAATGTGGGATTGAATGAGTGCACCACCACAAATGGATGTCCCATCGAATAATCCCCTTAATGAGGGTATGGGGGCGATTTCGGATTCAGCCCATGCCATAAATATATATATATATAAACATCCTCTCACTTTCAACTGTTTTTTAGTTTCTTCACATGTGTGGATATTATGAACATTCAGAATTCAACAACTGACATGTAAACTGAACAAATTTCACAGATGTTTGGTAAACAAAAATGGATTAATGAGTCCCTGAATAAAGGGGGGTGAATATCAAAAATAGCAGTCAGTATCTGTTGTGGCCATCAGCTGATTTAAGCACTACAGTGCATCTCATCCTCATAGACTGAGACAGATCTGTCAGTTATTGGTGTAAGATGTTACTTCACTCTTCCACAATAACACCTACAGTTTCCCGAACATATCTGAGGGGACATATGGTTACACGTGGTTTGGCACTGCAAGGACGATGAGCCGTTCTTCCTGTTGCACTGTCTTAGGCGTCTTACATTTTGGACATTGCAGTTTATATCTCTGGGCACATCTGTGTCCCTCATGCCTCCTGCAGCGGGACTGTGGCAGGTTCAAGTTATTTGAACTGTCTAACACTTGTAAACAGGTTCATGTGCAAAAATTGTTTATGAGCAAGCATGAAAAACATTGTTTAAACCAAGGGTTCCTGCAATTTAGCTTCAACCCTAACTGATCGCACCTGATCCAGCTAGTCAAGTCCTTTAGGCTTATTTGAAAACCACAGGAGCAGGGTTGGAACTAAACTCTGCAGGGCTTTTAACTTTTTCCAATATAGATCTGTAAAGATTATTTGGATTTTAAATGTAGTATAATCAAAGTAAATAAAAATGTATTTATGTGTTCAAAGTCTAATTAAGATGGGTTGTATTTTTACAGTAAACAATTGGAATCATCTCCGTTCAAATATCCATGAACTGTTTTTCTCTTCTCCCACCCAACTGTGTCTCCACCCTTATATTTGTCCCTCAGCCAACAAGAAGAAGGAGCGTCCAGAGATCTCTCTACCGTCGGACTTTGAGCACACCATCCATGTTGGCTTTGATGCAGTCACAGGAGAGTTCACTGTAAGTGTGAGCAAAAAATCTTTTTCAGCACAATGCACACAATTGCTACGTAGAAAAAAAAATCAATAATGGCATTTTTACACATGCATATATTTCTGTATAATTACACAATCTGTTATAGTAACATATCTGGATAGTTTGAGATGAAATAGTTTTAATCCAAACACTTTAAACAAAAGTTTTTACTTTTCATTGACTATAAAGGTTAAATAATCCATGTTTCAGTGGTAAATTAAGACAAATTCTAGCTAAATATAAAAGTAACTTCTTAAATAGCACATTGAGGCTAAAATCTGAACAAACTCCACCTGATTATAAATAGAAAATGCCAAAGCAAGCAAGAAAAAAGGATAAACGGAAAGAAAATTCGCTGAAGATCGATTCCACCGATTTGACACTGGACTTCTCAAGTAGAGAGAATAAACTCACAGCATTAACCTCTGGGTCCAGGTCTATCTTCCTCTTTACAATTGGTTTATTATGTTTGATAAGATATTAAATGAGCTGTGCTCTTTGTCTAAACCATAAATCAGCTGTACATTCCCCCTGTGTACAACAGAGAGGAGTTCAGTGTGCCTAATGAGAGCCGGTGGGTCAGAACCACGCTGCCTCGCCAACAGAGACGTTTAAATTACTTCAGTCCATTAGACCTTAAACTGACGCCGGTGGTCAGATAACACGCTGCGCGCCTTCACCACTAACACCCTCATTCTGATCAGAACACAGCTGTACTGTGACCATATTTATCTGTCTGTCTAATTTGCCTTTGCTTTTGCCACAAGTGTGCTTCTGAAAGCCTCATCGTCACTCTAATAATGATTGATTAACAGGGTTTAGACAGTTTTCAGTACTGTTTTTTGTGGCTCTCTATGTAGGGCATGCCTGAGCAGTGGGCACGGTTACTCCAGACGTCCAACATCACCAAACTGGAGCAGAAGAAGAATCCTCAGGCGGTTCTAGACGTGCTTAAATTCTACGACTCTAAAGAAACGAACAACAGCCAGAAATACATGAGCTTTACAGGTGTGACACACTTCATATATTACAGCTATAACAGTATGAACATATGTATTTTATATATATATTAATTGAATAATTATATAGTAGGATACTGTATATATACAGTATATAATATAAATAGAGTATGAATGAATATATATAATATATGTGTGTGTGTTTGTATATATATATATATATAGAGAGTAAATAAATACAATGAATATATCCTATATGTATTCCTATGTGTAGTGTTTATATAGATATGTGTACTTTGTATATAAAACGAAATACAATTTCATATTTAGTTATTTATCAAATATCTTGTCAATGGATAATCACATTTGATCTTTTTAGTCTTTTTGATAGATTTTTTTGTTTGTAATACTGGGCTTCATTCATGACAGACCGAAGAATGAATTGATTTGTAAATCTTTCATAAAACCATTCTTAATTCAATTCAGTGTCACAATTTCCATAATGTGTTTTGCTGTGTCAAATAAATATTATCATTTTATGATATAATACAATGGCTTTAAATCAGCCATCAGCCACCGAATCGTTTATAAAACAAAAACAGTATCAGTGCGATGTTGTCTAAAGATTACTTCTATGGCTCTTTCTCATTGCTCATTCGTCTCTTTTTAATTTCAGATAAAGGTGTGGATAACTACAGCTCTTCCAACGCAGTGGTGAGTCATTGTGACTGTGTTTTCCAGCTTTATTTGTGACATGCTGAGAGGAGTTTGAGGTCAGGAGGGGAATGTGGACAAATGTCCTCTCCACTCACATGACAGATTGACAAAAGACTGGACAGAAGGAAGTTTGCCATGGGGAAGCGCGAAAGAGAGGAAGGAACTGAGAGCTGATATGGGGGGTTTAAAACAGGAGAGATGCAGTGAACAACAAGGTGACAGAGTCCCGTAAGGGCTGCCCACTCAACAGAAGGACAGAATTGATGCCAGCCACTCCAGGCGATGCCAGCGGGTTCATCTCTCTCTCTCTCTCTCTCTCTCTCTCTCTCTCTCTCTCTCTCTCTCTCTCTCTCTCTCTCTCTCTCTCTCTCTCTCTCTCTCTCTCTCTCTCTCTCTCTCTCTCTCTCTCTCTCTCTCTCTCTCTCTCTCTCTGCACTGTGAATCAGCATGTTTTTTGTGCAGTTCTCCTGCTGAGTAGTGTTGTAGTGAGTACTGAGTAGTGCTGCTGAAACAGGTTAGCTGCAGAGCAAGATGGAGAGTAAACTTTTAGTGGATGCACTGGTTATGGTGTATCTGGTGGAATGATGAGGCCTGTGGAGCTCAGCGGTGAATAACGCAGCACCGCTCTCGTGGTTGCCATGTTGGGTTTGTTTTGCAGCCATATTGTGATGTCAGTCGGTCAACCTCACTTCCTGCTTGGCTTGTTTCAGAACTCCAAGACCGTTTCCGAGACCCCTGCCGTGGCCACCGTCTCCGAGGATGATGATGAGGATGAAGCCACGCCCCCACCCACGATCGCACCCCGTCCCGAGCACACCAAATCTGTGAGTATTTGCTTACGGGATATGGGAAAAAGTGCTTTTTGCTTGATTTGATTTAGTCTCTCTTTCACTGTCTTTATCACTTTTAGTTGAATGTGCTTGAAAATGCAGTGTTTGTCATGCCAAAGTTGTCAATGTAGATTATCAGTGTACTTTTCACAAGAAAATACAATTTCAGTGTTTGTTTGTTCAAAATTTCACATTTCATTTGGTGTGTTACTAGACTTTTCTAGGCAATTATTTGTGAAATTTACTAGCAATCGAAAATTCCAAGTAAATCATATACCATTTTCTTCAGTACATGTTTTGTCCAAAAAAGTTTAAGTAAAATAACAATAGTAAAGTAAAACAGGTAACGCTTTACAATAAGTTTTCATTAGTTAACTAAGAATGAACAATACTTCTACAGCATTTGTTAATCTTAGTTCATTTCAGCATTTACTAATAAATTATTCATAAAAGTTGTATTTGTTAACATTAGTTAATGCAATGTGAACTAACATGAACAAACAATGAACAACTGTTTTTATTAACTAACATTAACAAAGATTAATAAATACTGTGCAAAGTAAATATTGTCATTGTTAGTTTAAATTTGAGTAGGTTAGTAGGTTTTTGTGGTTGGTTTCTAGGCGGTTGCTAGATAGATGGATAGGATAGTTGCTAAAGGGTGTTTTCTAAGGTGTTCTGAGTAGTTGCAAGGTGGATAGGCTAGTAGATTGTCGTGGTTGGTCCAGATATATCCAGACAGACAGATGGAAGGTGTTGTGTTGTGGGTGTTGGCTGAGTAGCTGCATGACTGTCAAGTCTGTAGTCTGGAATAATGAGTTCTCTGACTCTATGTGCCTTCAAGCTAACCTGTAATTACCGAATAAATATGTATGTCTTCAGAGAGGTGTGTAGGTGACTGGAGGTTTATTACAGCTGCACTGAGGACAGGAGCGTGTGTGTTTGATGGAGAGAGCGACTGAGGGCCGTCTGGGGTGCAGTGAAGCCTCATTACATTCCCTTGATCTGTCTGGAGATCACGGGATCAAGCCTGTTGGGCTTTTAGGCGCCTGGATGATTAAAGATGCTCCATCAGCACTCGTGTGTAGTTTTGTGAGCTGTCAGCTCTCAATTCGAAGGGTTTTCACCCTCATTATGTCAGCTTTTAAACCAGAGGAGATGAATGATGTCCTGTAGTGTGTTCAAGCACACATTCACATGATGCTGCTTTTTACTGATATGCATGTATCATAACTTTGAACTTATCTATAGGCTAGTCTTTGCTAAAAAGTTGCCAAAATGAACATAAAATAAAATATTTTAAGGAAATCAATCATAGGATATATATTGATTAGAGTCGTTGCAAAAATGTCTCAGAAAAGCAAAGTTGGCTCTGAGAAAAACAGAAGAATATTCAGTAATGCTTGTGTCCAAATAAGTTTCTGGATTGTTTATTTATTCAAAAATGTATTCAATTCATTCCAAGCGAAAAATACTCAAAATGAGCACTTCATTTTGGATGTTTGAAACTGTGTTATTTTAGTATTATTTATATTTGCAGTTTTCATTTTAATTTTAGTTTATGTACTTTTGACGTTTTTATTAGTTTTTTTCTCTTTTAAAAATGACTTTTTTAGCTTTATTTTATATTTTTCAGTTTTAGTTTGAGTCATTTTAGTACTTCAACCTCAACTTATTTTCATTTTAATGAGTTGCAAAGGCAACATTTCTACTGTTTTAGTTTTATATAATAAATGTATATCCTGTATACTTTAAAACTAATATTTATATATTTTATTTATATTGTAGCTTTTTTCAGTTAATGAAAACTAATATTAATAGTTTGAGTTTTTTTTACTCTTTTCAGACAAATTTAACCTCATACTGTATGTGTCTTAATGTTGTAGCGAAGATGGAGATTTTCAGAAAGTTGATCTCCATCTGTTCATGTCACAAACACAACACACACTACTTTTAATCTCAAAACAAAAAAAGAGTTAAGAAATAGAAATAGACTTTAATTGTCATTGTGCAGTAGAACCATACAACGAAATGTGCTTGTGCAGCCTCTAAAACAATACTCTAAACAAGCCTCTAAGTACAGCACTTTTAGAATTTTTTTTATATATATAAAAATAAATGATATATTATATTATTATTAGTATAATATAATTTAATTAAAAATTTTTTTTTTTTTTTGAGAATGTTTATGTGATGTAAATGAGTGTCAAGCTGCTGGTACCCTGTTTCCGTGTGGTGAGTCAACATCTGACTGCACACTTCAGCTCTTAGACCACTTGTTTGTGCCCTGTGTTTTTGTCTCTAAAATGAATTAAAGAACACAAGCCCAACCCCTGTGTTGTAAAGCAGTCTTCTAAGAAAAGAGCAGGAAACTTGATCCTGGTTCGGTTTGAACAGATTAAGACCCGAGGCTCCAGTGAGCAGAAATGTAGACGGTTTTATTCAGCTTGTGAATGTCTGAGGAGAGAATTATATTCACTTGAGTCACTTTAGACTGAGCTGTGCTGGAATATGTGTTTTATTGTCTCTGTGGGTACCAGCGCCCCGGTCCTTTCCCAGAATGCCTTGTGAATCATCCATTGCTCATTTAGGGCCCCATGTGATCTGATACAGTTTATTCTAGTGGTCAATGATCAGGACTACTATTTTATTTTCTATAATCCACTGCTAATAATACAACACATTTGTGCACCCCCCAGATCTACACACGCTCCGTCATTGAACCTCTTCCTCCTCCGCTCTCCACCAAAGACGCCGCCACATCGCCCATCGCCAACGCGACCTCTGACGCCTGCAGTCCCACCCCGACACCCTCCAGCACCACCGCCACTAACACCCCCACACCCTCCACCCCGCAAAGTGCTGACAAGACAAGGAAGAAGAAGATGACCGACGAGGAGATACTCGAGAAACTGCGTAAGTGATGCAAGAGATATAGCTTAACTAAAATTGGAGGTAACAATAATAATAATTTATTTAATAATACTAAAAATGTATTTATTTATTTATTTATTTATATTCTCTAAAATATTATCTAAATGTGTGCGTATATATATATATACTGTGTGTATATATATATATATACATACACCATATGTATACAAAATTAACAGTAATTATTAAATTATTATATTAAATATTTATTTTTAATTCAATTAAAAGTTTTTTTTAATAAATATTTTATATATATATATATACACACATAGGCACACACACACATACACACACAAATTAACAAAAAATAAATAATAATATGTAAAGTATTTTCTTTTTTATTATTTATTTTATTCGATTCGATTTTTTTTTCTTTTTTTCTGACAGCTGGGTTTTCACATAGCTATGCAAGTTCCATGTCTCTCTTTGGGTCTCTTTCTATTAGTATAATAGTATAATAATTTACATACAAATCAATATTTCATGTCCAATTATTAATTTATTTCGTAAGTAGGCCTGTAATAAGTAGGATAATGTGCCGTCAGCAAGTCATTATTGCTGTCAAGGTGCCATCACCCTGTCAAGGTTTATTTTTTACGTTAATAACCAGCTGACTGCACATTATTTGACATATACAGTATGTGTGGTGTATTTGTTTTTGCGAAATCCCAACATGCTTTTATTTCTTGCTTGAGTCATCCATACATTTTTTCTGCATCTAAGTTGTATTATTGTATTATATTTTATATTTATTATTTTTATTTAGCATGTAATTTTGGCTGAAATTATTCCCAGTCATTTTTTCATGAGCGGCCCAAGAGATGCATGACTTTCTAAGAACCTGTATCTTATTAAAAACCCCATGCTACAGACGTGCTCAGATCGCCCTCTACTGGTAAGAACGGGATGCTGCTGCAGCCATCCAGTGTGTCTTTCCTGCCCCACTCTGTCACTTCAGGCCCCTCTTGGCCAAAGATTTGTCGTTCTTCATCTAAAACACCCATTCATCAATGGTTGCCGGGTTACACGTCGAACTGAAGATGTTCCTGTCTTTCCCTTATGCGGCCTGAATTTAAGACTCAGAGACGTCGTAAAACTCTGATCAGCCCTCAACCTTCTTCCTTTCTGTCTTTTCCAATTCTCTGTTACCTCACTGCCTGTAAATCTGTCTTTTCCCAAAGGTTTAGAGGCCTTTTCATCCCACCACTCTCTCTCATTGTTCTGCTAGGTCAGCTCGCTTTGACTGGAAACGATTGTTTGCTTCTCCCTCCACAGCATGTGTCTGACTGAAGTCTGATCTCAGTTCACTGTGTCCTCTTAGAGCTGAGCATCCCTCTTCTTATACGGGACCAATTTGAGGGGAACGATTCGGTTGATCCTCACAAACTAGGGCTGCCTGATTTGGCAAACAATATATTACGCTTTTGACAAATTTAACAAAAGACATAATAAAAGACAAAGCATTTGAAAAGAACTATAAAGTGATGGCTGTTGGTGATTTCCAGCTGAACGCAAGCAACGGAGACCGCTGGCAATGTCATAAAGTTAAGCAGAGCTAATATATTGGTTAACATTTCGCACACATTGTTTGGAACCCAGGTACTTTGATAAAAAAAAAAAATTAATAATTAATTTAGTTTACCTGTAAAATATCTAATTTTATATATTTTTATGAATATCATTCTTAAAAAAAAAACATTTACATAAGAAGAAAAGTGTGTAAAATAATATATTTTTTTATTAGAATAGAATATTTAAATACATTATAAAACATAATATGTTTTAATTAAGTTTATATTTCTTACTGCAATAAAATGAAAATGAAAACAGCATAAATTATTTACTAATTATTTCTATCATTATAATATATCATTATTATAGATTTTTTTTATTAGTTTTATATCATTTTTTATTTACCAGGACAGTGCATATTAAAAACAGTCCACCTGTAACATGCCAGAATTAGCCAAGGGCTAGTTTTCATCTGTTGCCAGTTGTACAGTGGCACTCTATATGAATGACATATGAATGAAATTTCATTCCACTGGCTTATAAAAATATAATAAAAAAATGCTACAACGTGCGTTAAAATATAGTACTAAAAAGAGTTTGTCAGTGGCATATAAATATTGATATTGCACATGGTAACTTGCGTCATATAACATTTTTGTTTTATGTTATGATTGTAAGGCCAGTTAACCTTCGTCTGATATTTCAAATTCTCCCAGCGTCGCCTTCTAATCTCCAGTTTTATAATTGCACAAAATGAATTCATATCACAATTTTGATTATAGATTTGATAAGTTGTGCAGCTCTGTCACACACCCTGAAGTGCTACATTTTCATTCTTTCTGTCTTTTAAAATGCTGTTTTTCCTCACCTGTGTGTCTCTCTTTTTCTTTTTCTTTTTTTATAGTGTTTGTTTTTTATTGTTATATCTTTGAAAATAACATGTGACCTTCACTCCACAGGAAGTATAGTCAGCGTGGGTGACCCGAAGAAGAAGTACACGCGATTTGAGAAGATAGGCCAGGGGTGAGTTTTATGATCTTATCATTTATGCCAAATCCCACAATCACAATTCAAACATTCATCCAAATCTTCTCTTCCTTCCCTCATCAGGGCGTCTGGAACAGTCTACACGGCCATAGACATCGCCACGGGACAAGAGGTGAGACTTTTGAGGTGCCAGCCAGTAATGCGTTTCTCCACTGATGCCACACGTACATCATCTAGATGTGCATTTTCTTCAAGAAAACTTTTTGCTCATCTGAGGGCTGGGCAACGATTAATCGTGATTAATCGCATCCAAAATAAAAGTTTGCGTTTAAATAATATATGTGTGTGTACTGTGTATAATTATTTTGTATATAAATACACACACATGCATGTATATATTTAAGAACTATTTGCATGTATATACTATATATATATTTATACATAATTTATATTATATATAAATATTTTATATATAAATAACACATTTTTCTTAAATATATACATGCATGTGTGTGTATTTATATATATATATATATACACTCACCGGCCACTTTATTAGGTACACCTGTCCAACTGCTCGTTAACACTTAATTTCTAAGCAGCCAATCACATGGCGGCAACTCAGTGCATTTAGGCATGTAGACATGGTCAAGACAATCTCCTGCAGTTCAAACCGAGCATCAGTATGGGGAAGAAAGTTGATTTGAGTGACTTTGAACGTGGCATGATTGTTGGTGCCAGAAGGGCTGGTCTGAGTATTTCAGAAACTGCTAATCTACTGGGATTTTCACGCACAACCATCTCTAGGGTTTACAGAGAATGGTCCGAAAAAGAAAAAACATCCAGTGAGCGGCAGTTCTGTGGGCGGAAATGCCTTGTTGATGCCAGAGGTCAGAGGAGAATGGCCAGACTGGTTCGAGCTGATAGAAGGGCAACAGTGACTGAAATAACCACTCGTTACAACCGAGGTATGCAGCAAAGCATTTGTGAAGCCACAACACGCACAACCTTGAGGCGGATGGGCTACAACAGCAGAAGACCCCACCGGGTACCACTCATCTCCACTACAAATAGGAAAAAGAGGCTACAATTTGCAAGAGCTCACCAAAATTGAACAGTTGAAGACTGGAAAAATGTTGCCTGGTCTGATGAGTCTCGATTTCTGTTGAGACATTCAGATGTTAGAGTCAGAATTTGGCGTAAACAGAATGAGAACATGGAACCATCATGCCTTGTTACCACTGTGCAGGCTGGTGGTGGTGGTGTAATGGTGTGGGGGATGTTTTCCTGGCACACTTTAGGCCCCTTAGTGCCAATTGGGCATCGTTTAAATGCCACGGCCTACCTGAGCATTGTTTCTGACCATGTCCATCCCTTTATGGCCACCATGTACCCATCCTCTGATGGCTACTTCCACCATGTCACAAAGCTCTAATCATTTCAAATTGGTTTCTTGAACATGACAATGAGTTCACTGTACTAAAATGGCCTCCACAGTCACCAGATCTCAACCCAATAGAGCATCTTTGGGATGTGGTGGAACGGGAGATTCGCATCATGGATGTGCAGCCGACAAATCTGCGGCAACTGTGTGATGCCATCATGTCAATATGGACCAAACTCCCTGAGGAATGCTTCCAGCACCTTGTTGAATCTATGCCACGAAGAATTGAGGCAGTTCTGAAGGCAAAAGGGGGTCCAACCCGTTACTAGCATGGGGTACCTAATAAAGTGGCCGGTGAGTGTATATATATATATATATATACAAAATAATTATACACAGTACACAAACATATATTATTTAAACGCAAACTTTTATTTTGGATGCGATTAATCGTCAAAGGTTAAAACAACATTCACCACATGCATGACATACTGCATACTTTAAATGATGATATTCCAAATAATATAATGCTTAAAATGGATGGTGACGTACATCGACTTACTAGGTCACTACGTACCATACACCACTAATAAGTGGTTCTCATTTGGAGAACTCCAATCATGGAGTTGGAGATATCGACAGGCTTTTCAGTGTCCACATGCCCTTACGGTTAATAGAGGGCACCTATCGTCATCATTAATGCGATTCCGACAGAGACTTCGACATTTTCGGCTGATCGATAACAATGAATCAGGGGATACGGCATGTGTTATTGATCTGATGACATTCCTCTGAGCGGAGCGAGCGCTGTAATCTTACCTACACACAAAGAGAGCTCATCTCAAAGCTAACTCTCACTCATGTTAATGGAGAGATGCTCAGATGGAGCCAAAGACTCTCGGATTAATCTTCAAGTGTGTCTAAAAGCTTTTATTCTGGTGTTTGGTCTTTCAGGTGGCCATCAAACAGATGAACCTACAGCAGCAGCCCAAGAAAGAGCTGATCATCAACGAGATCTTAGTCATGAGGGAAAACAAGAACCCCAACATCGTCAATTACCTGGACAGGTAAAATCATTTTCCTAATCAGTATTTTATCTGGTTTTCCTGTTAAAGGAGAACTCCGGCGCAAAATGAACCTTTGGTCTAATTACACATTGTTACCTAGTCAACCGTTATCTGAGATTTGTTTTCATGATTATCGAATGTAAATAGTTTTATCTCTAAAAACAGTTTAGCCTATAAAGCTAGTATAACGGTAGTATATTGGGCATAGATCAATGACAAATAAAAATCGCTTGTTAATACCACTAACAAGGCTCAAAATAGCCCCACACTAACACGGTAGCATAATGAGGGTCCCTACCTTCAAACCGAAGCATTGAGAACTTTGTCAGTGTCCAGACAGTTTAATAAGAAGATATTTTAAACATACAGTCAACTTCGCGTATACAGACAGGAGCCATCTTTGAAAACCAGTCTCTACCAGTCGATATACGAACGCCGATCCAAGCCTGCTGTTCGCGCTCACCTTATCACAACTGATAGCTCGTTCACATCTCACCAGCGCACTTGAATCGGCGTTCGTATATCGACTGGTAGAGACTGTTTTTCAAAGATGGCTCCTGCCTGTATACGCGAAGTTGACTGTATGTTTAAAATATCTTCTTATTAAACTGTCTGGACACTGAGAAAGTTCTCAATGCTTCGGTTTGAAGGTAGGGACCCTCATTATGCTACCGTGTTAGTGTGGGTCTATTTTCAGCCTTGTTAGTGGTATTAACAAGCGATTTTTATTTGTCATTACTCGATGCCCAATATACTAGCGTTATACTAGCTTTATAGGCTAAACTGTTTTTAGAGATAAAACTATTTACATTCGATAATCATGAAAACAAATCTCAGATAACGGTTGACTAGGTAACAATGTGTAATTAGACCAAAGGTTCATTTTGCGCCGGAGTTCTCCTTTAAAATATCCTCTTTTTTTATGTATTACTTATACTTTAGAAGCAAAATTATGTCAAATATTTTCTTCTTCTCACAGAATATATATATATATATATAAAAATTCTGTTTTATTTTTTAACTGTTTTATTTTATTTTAAATTGTATTTTTTTTAGGGCTGTCAAACGATTAATCACGATTAATCGCATCCAAAATAAAAGTTTGTGTTTACATAATATATGTGTGTATACTGTGTATAATTATTTTGTATATAAATGCACACATGTATATATTTAAGAAAAATGTTATTTATATATAAAATGTTTATATTTATATAAAATATACATTATATATAGGCTACATTCAGTCTATATACAGTATATACATGCAAATATTTCTTAAATACACATGCATGTGTGGGTATTTATGTATTAAAAATAATTATACACAGTACACACACATATATTATGTAAACACAAACTTTTATTTTGGATGCGATTAATCGCGATTAATCGTTTGACAGCCCTAATTTTTTTGTGTGTGGTTGTCGTTTTCTTTTGTCTTTTATTTTTTTACTATATACATTTATTTTTTCTTAATTTTTGTTATTTTCTTTTAATTTTCAAGTTGTGTTATTTTTTGTTTATTTTGTTTTGTATTTTTCTTCTATTTTTTAAGTTATATTTTATTTTTAAAAAATTGCTTATTTTTCTTTCTGCCTTTTGTACCTGCACTTTTTTTTTCAGATTATGCTCAAGACAACAACAAAAAAAAGAACTAAACAATTTAAAATATTTTTTCTTTAAAAACAAGTCTTGTTATCTAAAAAAAAATCCAAAGCTTGATCCAAAGCTTCTCTCTGAGTCCATGGTGAATTGCTTCATGTCTGCACTAATAAAAGCAGACGCATCCAATAATTCTGTTGTCCTGGCGATGCCGCTGCATCACTCAGCGATGTGGCGTCTGTTGACGATGCTGTCTTGTTGCCATAGTTACCTGGTGGGGGATGAGCTCTGGGTGGTGATGGAGTATCTGGCTGGAGGTTCCCTGACAGACGTGGTGACGGAAACCTGTATGGATGAAGCGCAGATCGCCGCTGTCTGTCGGGAAGTGAGTGTGTAATTATTCAACTTACCATGATTGTTTGTTCTCGCCGAAACAAATAAAGCAGCCTTGCTGTCTAGATATCTACTACGGTTAGAATCCTAAGTGAAATGGAACCTCATAAATGACTGAGATCTGGAACACTGCATAGGCAGCAACTCACAAATAGTGTTCCTTTGAAAAAAATGAATCAGTTAATTCCAATAGGGTTTAATGTTAGCCAAGCTAACAACAAAATATTGAAATGATCATAAACATAGACAGTGCACACACATTTTGAGTGAAGTAGAATTTTCTTAATTCTCATTTTCTGATATAATTAACTATTTTTATAATAAACATTTCTCTTGATGTTTCCCATCTTGGGGGATTTATTTTTCCATCGAACCAGTGTTATTATTAACTAAAGCTAGACTATTAAAAATCAGTTTGTAAATTGATATAAAGCTGAAATAAAATAAAATACACAAATTAGTGCTTTAATCGCTATTAATCGCATCTAACATTAAAGTTGGTGTGTCTATATGTAAACTTTTATGTTAGATGCGATTTAATCGCCAGTCGACAGCACTAATACAAATATTAGATGAAAAACTTCAGCTTAAACTTATTTCAGTTAGTTGCAAATGCAATATTTCTTAGGCCTTGTTTCACAGACAAGGCTTAGATTAAGGCAAGATTAAGGCAGGATTAGGCCTTAGTTCAATTAGGGCGTTTAAGTAGCTTTTATAAACGTTCCTGCTGTGCATCTTGAGACAAAACAATTACACAGACATATTTTAAGATATTCCAGTGCAAGTTGCTTTCAGTTAAACGGCTCAAACATGCTTTTTAGTCTAGAATTAGACTTAAGCCTTGTCTGTGAAACCGGGAGTAAAATTGTTAAAAATGAAATACTGATAAAATCACGTCAAAATTACTAAACCGTAAACTAAAACCTATAACTATAAAATAAAACCAAATTCAAAATATTACTAAAAACCATAATACTATATAAATAATACTAAAAAAATAACGCTGCACAGAGCTTGTTTGCAATGCATGCTGTCTAGCTAGGCAGCCCACTAGTTTTTGAAACTGCTTTTAGGTCACATGAACCCTGTGCATGTTTTAATGTGCTAACTGGGTTGCTCCTGTCATGCAGTGTCTACAAGCCCTGGAGTTTCTTCACTCGAATCAGGTTATTCACAGAGACATCAAGAGTGACAACATTCTCTTGGGCATGGACGGATCTGTCAAACTCAGTGAGTCCACAACACATCTACAACCATTTCTCTTCTAATCTGTGTGTCTAATCTAAAAACATTTAAGGCTGTTCTGGATTGTAAATTGTATGCATAGATATTAGTGACGTATACACCTAAATCTTGGCATTGAGTGCTGTTTAAATAAGGTCTTACTGATAATTATTACGTTTTTCATCTGTGCAACTTTTGACCAGTAGAGGGAGCAAGAATCCATTTTATGACCATGCTTCACTATTCCTGCTGTATTTTTGAAATCACATGAAGTGACTGTATCACACCAGCCGGTCTGAACATCTGTCTGTCTGTGTCTCTCAGCTGATTTCGGCTTCTGCGCTCAGATCACTCCTGAACAGAGCAAACGAAGCACCATGGTGGGGACGCCCTACTGGATGGCACCAGAGGTGGTGACCCGTAAGGCCTACGGACCCAAAGTGGACATCTGGTCCCTGGGCATCATGGCTATAGAGATGATAGAGGGCGAACCGCCGTACCTCAACGAAAACCCTCTGAGGGTAAGATTAAAGACATCTAAACCTAACTCAGTAATATATGCACCTTATCACTAAAGTCACTTCAGAAGTTTTTGCAAAGTTTTCCTGTGATAGTAGCAATATTCAAACTAGACAGTTCTGCTGGAACACCTAAGACAAAATAATAGACACTACAAAAAAATGCCATGGTGATGGCATCAGATGGTAATACCATGGTACTTTGATATACACAGTTGTGGTCAGAATTATTGGCACCCCTGGTAAATATGATCAAAAATGGCTGTAAAAAATAAATCTGCATTGTTTTATCCTTTTGATCTTTCATTAAAAAAATCGAACCTTTCATTGAAGTAAAAGAATTGAAAGTGGGGGGGAAATCACATTATGAAATAAATCCTTTTCTCCAAAACATGCTGGCCATAATTATTGGCACCCTTTTATTACCGGTAAATACTTTTTGCAACCTCCTTTTGCCAAGATAACAGCTCTGAGTTTGGAGAACACCTGACAAGAGATCAGAGACCATTCCACCTTACAGAATCTCTCCAGATCCTTCAGATTCACAAGTTCATGTTGGTGCTTCTTCCCTTCAGTTCACCATACTCATTGTCTATAGGGTTCAGTTTAGGGGACTGGGACGCTCATGGCAGAAGCTTCATTTTGTGCTCAGTGACCCATTTTTGTGTTGATTTTGATGTTTCTTTTGGACCTTTGTCCTGATGGAAGATCCAACCAATGCCCATTATAAGATTTCTACCAGAGGCCGTCAGGTTTTGATTGTTTTATCTGTTGGTATTTGCTAGAACTCATAATACCATGTATCTGAACAAGATGTCCAGGACCTCCAGCAAAAAAATAGACCCACAACATATAAGATCCAGCAGTATATTTAACCGTTGGCATGGGGTACCTTTTATCCCTGTTTGCACCAAACACATCGGGTGGGTTTGCTGCCAAAAAGCCGTTTGTTTGTTTCATCTGACCATAGAATCCGGTCCCTTTTGAAGATCCAGGGGATCCCTTTTGAAGCGAGGAGGATTTTTCTTGAAACCCTCCCAAACAACCATGTGGTGATGTAGGGGTTGTTTGATATATTTTTTTTAGGCTTTCTGACCCCCAAAACTCAAGTAATCTCTGCAATTCTCCATCTGTGATCGTTGAAGAGTCTTTGGCCACTCAAACTCTCCTCCTCGCCGTGCAATAAGAGAATATAGACACACGTCCTCTTCCTGGCAGATTTGTAACATCTTTAGTTGATTGGAACTTCTTAATTATTGCCCTGATGGTCAAAATGGGGATTTTCAATTCTTTAGCTATTTTCTTACAGTCACTTTCTATTTTGTGGTGCTCAACAATCTTTTGCTGCACATCAGAACTATATTCTTTGGTTTTACTCATTGTGATGGACAATTAAGGGAATTTGTTCTTTGTGTTTCCTGTGAAACAAGAAGTCATAGCTAGACAACTTCATGTTCCTAGTCCTCCTGGTGTGCTAAAAAAGGTAAATATTAATGGGAATATACTTCAGAGATATTTTACTCGTAAAATATTCTAGGGGTGCCTTAATTGTGGCCAATGTGTTTTGGAGAAAAACATTTATTTCATAATGTGACCCCCCCCCCCCCCCCCCCACACACACACACACACACACACACTTTCAATTCTTTTACTTCAATGAAAGATTAGATTTTTTTGCAAATATTTTGAATGAAAGATCAAAAGGATAACCAATGCAGATTTATTTTTACATCCATCTTTGATCATATTTACCAGGGGTGTCAATAATTCTGACCACAACTCTGTGTGTGTGTGTTTATATACATATATGTAAGCAATAAGGTACGAGAGGCTGTGCTGTATCGTGAATAAGTAACGGCTGGAGGGCGTTGTTAGGCACGACGCGAAGCGGAGTGCCTGCAACCCCTTCAGCCGTTACTTATTCACGATACAGCACTTGCCTCGAGTACCTTATTGCTTTTATAAAACGGTTGCCACACAATAAAAATATTAAAGCCGAAAAATATGTATCTATGCAACTTTCATGAAGTAAAATCACTAAAAGCCTGCCTTCCGCTGGAAAAAATAGTCCCGGAACGTGAACAGCAACAGAAGTTACATATATTATTTCGCCAATAGATGGCGGCAAAGACTGTCTTTATGAGTGAGTGAGTGAGTGAGTGAGTCTGTAGAGAAGGCTTTTGAAAGAGGACTCGAACTTGTGATCACGGAGAAGACAGACGCAACTGACAGATGACTAACGTTATGCACGGAAAACCCCATGACTGTTAAAAGGACAAAATATGCAGCGGACATTCAAACGCATTTTTTTATTATGAATATAGGACTGACCTGAAGGAAAATGCTACGTCTACTGTAAATGCAGGTACACTCGCTTACTCGATCTCTCACAATGCTCTGCTCTAGCTTTAAATGAACAATATCAATGAGATGAAACATCTGTTTAAGTTGCTAAGAGTGGTTGCTAGGGGTGTTGTGTAGTGATACATAGAACCGTTGGGTGAAGCGGTTAGTTCCAATCCTTGATTCTGATTGGTCAATAGCTGTGCTTTATTCACGATAAAACACGGCTATGACCGCTTCACCCAACGGTTCTATGTATCACTACACAACACCCCTAGCAACCACTCTTAGCAACTTAAACAGATGTTTCATCTCATTGATATTGTTCATTTAAAGCTAGAGCAGAGCATTGTGAGAGATCGAGTAAGCGAGTGTACCTGCATTTACAGTAGACGTAGCATTTTCCTTCAGGTCAGTCCTATATTCATAATAAAAAAATGCGTTTGAATGTCCGCTGCATATTTTGTCCTTTTAACAGTCATGGGGTTTTCCGTGCATAACGTTAGTCATCTGTCAGTTGCGTCTGTCTTCTCCGTGATCACAAGTTCGAGTCCTTTCAAAAGCCTTCTCTACAGACTCACTCACTCACTCACTCACTCATAAAGACAGTCTTTGCCGCCATCTATTGGCGAAATAATATATGTAACTTCTGTTGCTGTTCACGTTCCGGGACTATTTTTTCCAGCGGAAGGCAGGCTTTTAGTGATTTTACTTCATGAAAGTTGCATAGATACATATTTTTCGGCTTTAATATTTTTATTGTGTGGCAACCGTTTTATAAAAGCAATAAGGTACTCGAGGCAAGTGCTGTATCGTGAATAAGTAACGGCTGAAGGGGTTGCAGGCACTCCGCTTCGCGTCGTGCCTAACAACGCCCTCCAGCCGTTACTTATTCACGATACAGCACAGCCTCTCGTACCTTATTGCTTACATATATATATATATATATATATATATATATATATATATATATATATATATATATATATATATATATATATATATATATATATATATATATATGGTCCTGAGTGATTAACATTAACTATGGTATTTACATGGTACACTAAGGTACTGCCATGGTTCATAATATGGTAACCATTCCGGGCCATTTCCCATAGTCTTTGTACATGGTATTTCCAACAACTACAGTATTACCATGGCTTGTTTAAAAAAAAACATGGTGATACTGTTATATTTTACATTAAGCCTACATGGCAAGAAAGCAAATCACATAGGTTTTAAGACACATGATTGAAATAGATTTTTTTAAATAGATAGATGCCATTGAAAAACCCATTCTGTTCAATACTAATAAAGATGCTAAATCTGTCAATGCTGGAATTTTTTTATGTATTAATATTGTCTTTATTACCTTTTAAAGAGTGGAACAAAACACAATTTAAATGTATATAATATTTTAATAATATATCTGTTCCCTGGTGCTAAAATGTAGCAGTTTACATCCAAAATGGAAAAATAAAACAAATAAGTAAATAAATGAATTGGACTAGAGGAATGTAAAGCTGTAGCATAAGACAAACTGCACAATGGAGCAAATATTGGACTGTTTGTAGATTCAGAAACCTCTGGATGGTTATTCCTTAAGTTTTAATTTAGACAAGAACAGTTCAAATAGCCTTTTAAATGAAAGCAACTGGTGCTGTAGTTAATGTTCATGATTTTTGTGTGACCTTTAACCCCTGCTGTTGTCCAGGCTCTGTACCTCATCGCCACCAATGGAACTCCAGAACTGCAGAACCCAGAGAAACTCTCCTCCGTGTTTCGTGACTTCTTAAACCGCTGTCTGGAAATGGACGTGGAGAAGAGAGACTCGGCCAAGGAGCTCTTACAGGTGTGTGTGTGTGTGTGTGTGTGTGTGTTAGAGTTATTTATGGATTGTCAATGTTACAAAAACAAAGTTACCTTCCAGTATCAATGTTTAATGCTTGACCTTTATAGATCAGTGAATAGTGGCTTAAAATACAGGTATATCAGTTCATTAATTAAGAACTTTTCATGGCTAACAAATAAATAGATGAGGAGCAAATGGATTAAGAAATGCAAATTACATTTTTTTTTTCTAAAGATTTTAAAGTGCATTTCAAATCATTTGTTTGGCTATTATAAATCATTATTGTATTTGTCAATTTAGAAAGTTATTTAGTTTTTTTATCATGTATTTTATTAATTGTATTTAGTTACTGATTAACTGATAAAACATTTATTTGATTAACTGATCTTTTGATTGTTTTTTTTTTAGTTTCATTTGTTGTCCTTCATACATTACACGTGTGTTTCAAGACCTAGTGAGCTGCCTAGCTAGAGAGCATTTTTGACCCATTTAATGTGTAGCAATAACTTCTATAACATTTTAAAGAATTGAAAGGCTGCTTTTGATATATTCTCTCAAATTATATTAGATTTTCTGGAAATCTCATTCAGTCTTGTCTCCATAAAAGCATCTCTCCCTCCTGCTCTTATGTCACTCCCACACTCACATCTGATTTAGAAAAATCACGTCTGTTGGTTGGAATAAAAGTGCTGCCAGAAGTTTCTAGAAAAGCCCCAGAAGCTGAAAGTATGAGAGCATCAGTAGTGATGTTGTGTAACACATTACATGACTCAATTGCATTAAATAAGGCGGATGAAGAAACTTGTGATGTAAATAATGTGAAAAGCTGCTGGAAATCTCAGTCATTAGAGTGAGTGGGAGCAGAAAATAAAACGGGTTTTTTACAATAAGAACTGAAATCCACAGTTCACTCTCTAGTTGCCACAGGTTTAAAAAGTTTAAACACTTTTTGAAATGCGTGTGATGTATGGACAGTAAAAGAAACGTAATAAATATTACATTTTTAAAATTAATACATAAAACCCTTAACATGTTTGTCAATATGCATTACTGTTCAAAAGTTTGGGATCAAGTTTTGTTGTTGTTTTAAAGAAATAAATTAATACTTTAATGCAGCAAGGATGCATTAAATTGATCAAAAGTGACAGTAAAGACATTTATTATGTTACAGATTTCTTTATTTGAGCTTTCTATTCATAAAAGAATCTTGAACTAAAGTTTCCACAAAAATATGAAGCAACAAAATGGTCTTCAACATTGATAAATATAAGATATTAGTATGATTCCTGAAGGATCATGTGACACTGAAGACTGGAGTAATGATGCTGAAAATACAGCTTTGCATCACAGGAATAAATTATATTTTAAAATATATTCAAATAGAAAGCAGTTATTTTACATTGTAATAATATTTCAAAATATTGCTGATTTTACTGTATTTTTTTATCCAATAAATGCAGCCTTGATGAGAATAATAAGAGACATCTCTGTCTTCTCCCTGCAGCACCAGTTCCTGAAAGTGGCCAAGCCTCTGTCCAGCCTCACTCCACTGATCATAGCGGCTAAAGAGGCGGCCAAGAACAACCGCTAGCCCCCCGGGATGACCCCCGGCCCCACCTGTCCTCCGCCCCGTCCCGTCAGCCCTCTCTCTCTCTCTCTCTCTCTCTCTCTCTCTCTCTCTCTCTCTCTCTCTCTCTCTCTCTCTCTCTCTCTCTCTCTCTCTCTCTCTCTCTCTCTCTCTCTCTCGCCCTGGTCAGGAGCTCTCATGCCGAGGGTTCATCCGTCCCTCGTCCTCTAGTGCTGCTGTGATGGGGTCCGAGGGGTGTCTGCAGTCACTGCTGTGGTCACCGAAAAGGCTCTGAATGATGACATCACTGAAAAATAAAGGGTCACGGTGCGTCAGGCCCAAAGCATTATGGGGGATTTGCCCCCGTGTTTCACCTGGCTGACTTTCTCTGGGTCTCACTGTCAGTTTTTCTATTGCTCTTTTGTTTGATTTTGTGTTGAATGCCTGTCAAATCATGGGAACATGATTCATGTTTTCTTGTCGGTTATTTGTTTGTTCATTTTACAATGTTTTTTTTAAAGTGTTTGTGTATGTGTGAGAGTGCGTATGTGCGTGTGTCGGCTCATAGATTAGCTGAGATCGCGACTTGATGCGTGGCACGATTGTACCGCGATCTCATCGACAGAAAGATCTCGTCCGATACACGTTTTTTTGATATTGAAACTTAATGATCTGTAACAGACTATTGATTTAAGGTACTATGAAGGATGCCTGTGCATGAAGAGACTGCATTTCAGATGCAGTTTTGAAACGACCACCTGAGGTCCGTTCTGTCCCATTAACCCTCCACATGTCGGAAATGAAACAAAACCTCACTGCATTCTGTGCTTTAAGATGGTTTGTGTTGCCACAAACATTAATGAAATTGAAATTTTCTGATGTTGCGTTCATGTACCCTTTGGCCTTAAACGAATAGTACGAAGATGGCACAACCCACGAAGATGCAATCTATTGCCATTTCAATGGACTGATGGGATTTGTTTATGAAGAAAATCTTTCCTGTAAGCAGTCAGTGTCTCTGCGAGCCATAAACCGTTTATAAGGCCTTTTTACGAATCGAAATTCTTAATGAAATGGGACGAATAAACTTCAGAATTAATCGCAGTGTCCAGGTGATTTTTTGTTGTTGTTGTTGTTGTAACTGCTGTTGCTGTCTGTGTTCAGAATGGCACACTGCATGTGCTGTATCCCATAATGCAATGCTCTCGTCTGCGAGTCATGTTTAATAACTTTCAAATCTTTTCATCAAAAAGATTCATTTAGTATATAAATTCCAAAAAGTTCAAATATAAGAGTAAAAAAAGTGATTAAATTCACTATTCATTAAAAATGTAAGCTTTTTCACACAATCTTTTATTAAAATATAAATAATAACTTTTTAAAATAAATAATAAATATAATAAATGATATTTATTATAATTATAATTGGATGAGATTGTAGAGAGAATATAATTGGATGTTAGTCTGGACATAATGAGGATTTTCTTTCAAATATATAAAAATTATAGGTAAAAGTTAAAACATTTGTAAATTGATTTTCAAAAAATAAATACCCATTTATTTCTGAGATCTGTATTAATGAGGAGGATTATTGGTAACACTTTATTTTACAGTGTCCTACTATTATTACTCAGTACTTAAATGTATACTTGCACTGTAACATGATTACCCTAAAATAAAGTGTAACCTTATTTATTTTTTGTTTTTTTATTATACAGTACAGTGCATGAAGTACTGAAAAGTAAGCAATGCATTAGTTTCCTACTCTGAACACAGTAACTGTTTACTTAACTGAATGGTTTTAAGTATGTTTCTGTACTCTGCTTATTATTCACAAAGATGTGTTTAACCCATAAACCGTAGGGTCAAATAGGTTTTAAGGTTTTCATTTCAGGATTACTGCACTTCCGTTACGCTTGTGAGATGATTAGCTGGAAAGAACACCAGAGACCCCACTCACTGTTATAAAACACTGCTAAACCATATGTGAATTGGTTAGTGTTTGAACAAAATGTTCTGTCCACTGTTGGCTTTTTGTGAGAATAGCTGGACTGTGAAAGGAATCGTTCACCCTAGAACCGTCTTTAACCTCACTCTCATGTTGTTCCAAACCCATATTTTCTTTTGTCAAACACAAAAAGAGATGTTGAAGTGAGCTGCTCTTTTTTTTCTATGCAACAATGGTGATTTACACTGTGAAACTCCCAAAAGAGATGACATGATCAACCTGAACTACTTTTGTTAAAGCCTGACAACATGGTTGAAAGTTTGGAACATCATAAAGTAAATGACAGTTTCTGAGCAATCCTTTCAGTATATGCATTTTAGTTGTATTTGAGGCAATAAGGCTTAACAAAATCATCATCTCTGTCTAGAATTACACTTTTGAAGCATGATCACTAGAGAAAAGCCCTTTATAGGAGAATTTTCTTTTATAGCCTCTCTGAGAGGGAGTTTTTGTGAATTGTTGCAATGAAATGGCATTCAATAATCCTGATCTGAAAATCAACAACATTGCAAGACGCAAAACGCACCACACGCTAATCTCTGACCTCCCCAAACAACCAATGAAAGATTGGTCTATTTTTAGAAACAATCTTATTAATGCTCTTGGATGTATAAGCTGCTTTCTTGGGTCTGTGAAATGGATTTTGGGATGTGGACTGGACCAGACTGAATGGCTCATTCTTGCTTATGCAACGCAGGAGATTGGTTGCTTCTTTGGCATTACTGCTTACTTTTTGGGGGTTATTTTACAGATGATCTATAAGGTAATTTACTGTCCATTTGCTCCATGGTAAGAGCTCTTGGGACTCACTATATATATATAAAAAAAAATCTAAGTGATTTCCATTACACGAGAGTAGATGTTAAAACTTCATGCTGATTTGTACTTGGCTTTCGCCAAGATAAGCAAAACTAAGACGTAGCTTTACAGTAAACTATGCTTCTCCATCCATTTACGCTTCTTTCCATAAGGTGGTGTGACTCCCCTTCTGTCCGGCGTTAACGGCAGCAGTGTACTTGGCGCGTTAGCGCACGCGACGGCTGCAACTACAGGACCAGCACGACAACCGTCTGGATTGAACCGAGTAGGGGACATCTCTAGGGTCTTCAAGTGGGCACCTTCCGTCCTCAGTGTTTCGTCGACTAGCCCACGACACCTCAAGAGGGCTCGACAGTGACTCTGGCGTCCCAGAGTCACCCCCTCCGTCCCCCACTCAACTCAGCCCAGCTTACTGACCTCTACATCCCTCCTGTAAAAGTTAAAACATTTGTAAATTGATTTTCAAAAAATAAATACCCATTTATTTCTGAGATCTGTATTAATGAGGAGGATTATTGGTAACACTTTATTTTACAGTGTCCTACTATTATTACTCAGTACTTAAATGTATACTTGCACTGTAACATGATTACCCTAAAATAAAGTGTAACCTTATTTATTTTTTGTTTTTTTATTATACAGTACAGTGCATGAAGTACTGAAAAGTAAGCAATGCATTAGTTTCCTACTCTGAACACAGTAACTGTTTACTTAACTGAATGGTTTTAAGTATGTTTCTGTACTCTGCTTATTATGCACAAAGATGTGTTTAACCCATAAACCGTAGGGTCAAATAGGTTTTAAGGTTTTCATTTCAGGATTACTGCACTTCCGTTACGCTTGTGAGATGATTAGCTGGAAAGAACACCAGAGACCCCACTCACTGTTATAAAACACTGCTAAACCATATGTGAATTGGTTAGTGTTTGAACAAAATGTTCTGTCCACTGTTGGCTTTTTGTGAGAATAGCTGGACTGTGAAAGGAATCGTTCACCCTAGAACCGTCTTTAACCTCACTCTCATGTTGTTCCAAACCCATATTTTCTTTTGTCAAACACAAAAAGAGATGTTGAAGTGAGCTGCTCTTTTTTTTCTATGCAACAATGGTGATTTACACTGTGAAACTCCCAAAAGAGATGACATGATCAACCTGAACTACTTTTGTTAAAGCCTGACAACATGGTTGAAAGTTTGGAACATCATAAAGTAAATGACAGTTTCTGAGCAATCCTTTCAGTGTATGCATTTTAGTTGTATTTGAGGCAATAAGGCTTAACAAAATCATCATCTCTGTCTAGAATTACACTTTTGAAGCATGATCACTAGAGAAAAGCCCTTTATAGGAGAATTTTCTTTTATAGCCTCTCTGAGAGGGAGTTTTTGTGAATTGTTGCAATGAAATGGCATTCAATAATCCTGATCTGAAAATCAACAACATTGCAAGACGCAAAACGCACCACACGCTAATCTCTGACCTCCCCAAACAACCAATGAAAGATTGGTCTATTTTTAGAAACAATCTTATTAATGCTCTTGGATGTATAAGCTGCTTTCTTGGGTCTGTGAAATGGATTTTGGGATGTGGACTGGACCAGACTGAATGGCTCATTCTTGCTTATGCAACGCAGGAGATTGGTTGCTTCTTTGGCATTACTGCTTACTTTTTGGGGGTTATTTTACAGATGATCTATAAGGTAATTTACTGTCCATTTGCTCCATGGTAAGAGCTCTTGGGACTCACTATATATATAAAAAAAAATCTAAGTGATTTCCATTACACGAGAGTAGATGTTAAAACTTCATGCTGATTTGTACTTGGCTTTCGCCAAGATAAGCAAAACTAAGACGTATAGCTTTACAGTAAACTATGCTTCTCCATCCATTTACGCTTCTTTCCATAAGGTGGTGTGACTCCCCTTCTGTCCGGCGTTAACGGCAGCAGTGTACTTGGCCCGTTAGCGCACGCGACGGCTGCAACTACAGGACCAGCACGACAACCGTCTGGATTGAACCGAGTAGGGGACATCTCTAGGGTCTTCAAGTGGGCACCTTCCGTCCTCAGTGTTTCGTCGACTAGCCCACGACACCTCAAGAGGGCTCGACAGTGACTCTGGCGTCCCAGAGTCACCCCCTCCGTCCCCCACTCAACTCAGCCCAGCTTACTGACCTCTACATCCCTCCTGTAAAAGTTAAAACATTTGTAAATTGATTTTCAAAAAATAAATACCCATTTATTTCTGAGATCTGTATTAATGAGGAGGATTATTGGTAACACTTTATTTTACAGTGTCCTACTATTATTACTCAGTACTTAAATGTATACTTGCACTGTAACATGATTACCCTAAAATAAAGTGTAACCTTATTTATTTTTTGTTTTTTTATTATACAGTACAGTGCATGAAGTACTGAAAAGTAAGCAATGCATTAGTTTCCTACTCTGAACACAGTAACTGTTTACTTAACTGAATGGTTTTAAGTATGTTTCTGTACTCTGCTTATTATGCACAAAGATGTGTTTAACCCATAAACCGTAGGGTCAAATAGGTTTTAAGGTTTTCATTTCAGGATTACTGCACTTCCGTTACGCTTGTGAGATGATTAGCTGGAAAGAACACCAGAGACCCCACTCACTGTTATAAAACACTGCTAAACCATATGTGAATTGGTTAGTGTTTGAACAAAATGTTCTGTCCACTGTTGGCTTTTTGTGAGAATAGCTGGACTGTGAAAGGAATCGTTCACCCTAGAACCGTCTTTAACCTCACTCTCATGTTGTTCCAAACCCATATTTTCTTTTGTCAAACACAAAAAGAGATGTTGAAGTGAGCTGCTCTTTTTTTTCTATGCAACAATGGTGATTTACACTGTGAAACTCCCAAAAGAGATGACATGATCAACCTGAACTACTTTTGTTAAAGCCTGACAACATGGTTGAAAGTTTGGAACATCATAAAGTAAATGACAGTTTTTGAGCAATCCTTTCAGTATATGCATTTTAGTTGTATTTGAGGCAATAAGGCTTAACAAAATCATCATCTCTGTCTAGAATTACACTTTTGAAGCATGATCACTAGAGAAAAGCCCTTTATAGGAGAATTTTCTTTTATAGCCTCTCTGAGAGGGAGTTTTTGTGAATTGTTGCAATGAAATGGCATTCAATAATCCTGATCTGAAAATCAACAACATTGCAAGACGCAAAACGCACCACACGCTAATCTCTGACCTCCCCAAACAACCAATGAAAGATTGGTCTATTTTTAGAAACAAT